TGATTCCCAAGTCATAAATTCTCAAAAAGATCCTTTTCTCACATAGATTCCTGTCTCATAAGCAGTCAACAAATATTCATGTATATTAATATTATTTTGGAGCCCAAATTGTCATGGATTTATTCCCATTCTTTCATCAGTTTTATTATTTCACTTTTTGCTTTCTCCAGCCCACCGACCTATGACTTTTTCACCATTTCTTACCACCTTCCTGTCTTCACTTTTCTTACATCCCATAATCTATCATCATAGTCACAGCCTTGCCAATTCCCTCAAGAATAAGCCCCCCTCTCTGTGTCCATTGTTCACCCACCTGGTTAAACCCTACCCCTGCTGATTCCAGTTCTCCTTTTTCTTCTATACCAATGGCTCTCAACCTTCCTAATGCCGGGACCCTTTAATACAGTTCCTGTGGATCATGACCCACAGGTTGAGAATCACTGCTCTATACAAAAGGCATGGCAGTATAATGCATAAAGCTGATGGCTATGGAGTTAGACTGCCAGTGTTCAAACCTCTGCTTTGCCACCAAACGGCTGCATGTCTTTAAGTAAATTGCTTATCTCTTCTGTAAAATAAGGCTGATAACAAAAATGCTTGACTCACAGATATGTAACAAAGTTTAAATGAGAATGCACACTTGGTCTTGTACTGGCCATGGTTAAATACTCAAATCTAGCTCGGATTATTTTTCTTATTATCATTCTATGCATGAGTCAATGGAATGAAGTTGGGGAAATCTCTCTCACACACACGTACCCACACACACACAAGCAACTTGCACTGTAAATGTGAAACCACAAATCTCAGATGGATACTTGATACTGCTGGCGACTCTGCCATCTCCTGGTACCTGCGCTCTTCTACTCTCCCACAACATTATTTCATGCCTGCAGCTCAAGCTTCGAATCTCCCTCACTCTCAGCTGACGACCTTCCCTTCTGCCATCAGACAAGTATGATGGCTGACCATCATCTAATATAGAAAACATGCCAGACCACATATGGCCTCGTTTTCTCCACCTTCCACCTTCTCTCAACTCAATGGAAGCAATGTCCAAAATGCCAACCCTTTACTTGGGTTCCAGTCCCCTCCGTTTAGCTCCCAACACTTTCCTCCTGAGTTTCCCTCGCCTCATCTCTCTGCATCTACTTCCTCCCGACATGACCCCCAGAGAGCCTCACCTCCTGGTATTCAGGCCCTGGTAGAATTCCCTCCCCTTAAGTGTGGATGGAACCTGTGACTCCCCCCCTCTAACCAGCAGAATACAGTAAAGATGCTGGAGGAGTCCTCCGTGATGACTGCATTATGCAAGACTCCACCTTGTTGTCAGGCAGGCCTGGAGAGTCTCCTTGCTGGCTTGATGAAGTAAGAGGCCATGTTGAGGGAGCCCAGGTGACAAAGAACTAGGGGCAGTGGGGGACGAGGGGCTCTATGAGCTAACGGCAGCCTCCAGACAAGAGCCAGCAAGGACCCTCAGTTCTGCAGATGCAAGGCATGAATTCTGCCAACACCTGAGTAACCTTGGAAGCAAATTCTTCCATGGTTAAGCCCCTGGATGAGAACTCAACTCACCTAACACCTTGAATGCTGCCTGTGAGACTCTTAGCAGCAGACCTAGTTAAGCTAACTCCAGACTCCTAACCCATGGAACCTGTGAGCGCTGTTAGAAGGTAAAAATTTTGAGTAATTTGTTATACAGCAATAGAAAACTAATACACTTTCCCTCTTCCAGAGAATCCCCAAAATGCCCTAATCACTACACTAATCCATCCCATCTTTAAAAAAAAAACCCGGACCATATACCTTCTAGCCACTCCCCCTCCTCTCTGTTCTCCTTTTTCAACAAAACTTGTCAAAAAGAGTTTTTCATATGTGTCCTTATGTCCTCACCTCCCACTGGCTGCTTAGCCCTCTCTGGGCGTACCATTCAAAATTCTGTGTCAAAGATACTAGTAAATTCCATCTTATCTAAGGCAAATGAACCAGTCTCTCCTTTCCTTGTTCAATATTCTAGTAGCTTTCAACACAGTTCCTTCCTCCTCACTTTTTGGAACTATTTCTTCTCTTAGCTCCCTAAACTTTACCTTTTTTAGTTTTACTTCTATTACACAGCTGCTACTGACCAACCATCTTTGTGGGCTTCTCCTACACCCAAACTTAAAAGGTGCTGGGCCCTGGAGTCTGGCCCAAGGGCCTCCTCTCTTGGCCCAGGGTACTATCTTTGAGCTTCACATGACCCCAACATGCTGACGATTCCAAAGTGCCTCTCTCCAGGCTTGACCTCTCCCCTTTGCTCGGCCCACAGCCGTCTGCCTAACTGCAGCCTCCACCTATCCAGACATCCATCTGACCACCCTCTCAGACTTTCCATATACAAAATAGAACCTTCAATTTTTGCTCTCACCAAATGGTGCATCTAACCAACCTGTACATAGGGCTTCATCCTGGGTTCTTCCCTTTCCTTCACCCCCTGTCACCCAATCCATCAACCGGTTCTTGCACGTGGGTCCTCACAACAGGCCCTGAGTTTTCCCATGCCTAACTCCACTCCTGCCAACCTCTAAGTCCAAGCTGTCCTCCCCCTCTCCCTTGGAGACTGCAGCAGCCAACAGTCATTTAGCTGGTCTTCCTGCTTGCCCTGCTGTCCTCTGGGCTCCACACAGCACAATCTTTTGAAAAATACAAACACACATTCCTTTGCTACTTAAAACGTTCCAAAGATTTGACACTATACTGTAGTACAGTCTTAAAAGGCCCACCAGGCTCTCTGTTGCTGGTGCCAACCCGCCTTTTTGACATGTCTCCTACCTACTAACTTCCAGTCACACTCACCTTTTCTCCTTCCCACCTCAAGACTTGCAATTGCTACTTCCTCTGCCTGGAAGGATCCTCTTCCACAGCTAAATGCTTCAGATCTCAGATAAAAATGTTCCCTGTCAGAGAGGTCTACCCCCTAGTAGCTTTCTCTTTTTCCTTTGAGACTCTAAGATATCATTGTTCCTTTCATAGGATACATCACAACCTGAACTGTCACGCGTTTTGTTTGATGTGGCTCTGCCACCTCTCACGAATTTGAGCCTAGAAAGGTATGTGCACTGCTGTGTTCTAGAAGAGCACCTGGCACATAACAGGTGCTCAAGAAAAATACGTACTGAGTAAATGCGTGAGTAGACATAAGATATTAACATTCTTATATGCACTGTCATAAAATTATCCTGTTTCATTCAATTAGAAAAATCTCTTCAATTGCAGTGTCTTTAAAGCATTAAAACACAAAATAAAATTATAACTCAAACTATGCAATATACTATATAAGTTTCCAGAAAGTTACGGGCAGACCAAAATGTTATAAAAAGAAGCTCATTTTGAAATAATTTAAAAGCAATTTGTTTGGAGATGTGAAAAATCTTTTTTGATAATGTAAATTATCACATTCCAGTTATTCTGTTTTTACAGATTTGATTTTTTCCTACATTGGATTTGCTTTGATCACAGAGCATAGATTGTTTGTTAATGTTTCTATCACATTTTTGTGCAAATATTCAAAGCACAAGACACATTTTCGGTATTTCTGGACAAAAATGTCAAGAAGTCACTACTTTTGTTATTCAATGTCACTGACACCATGTGACTTAATTTCAAACCCAGCTATATCCTATAGCCATACAATGAAGGCTTTTCAGCAGACTGTGGTAATGAGTGTGGTCACGGTTTGAATTTCAAGCAGCTGTCAAAACCTATCACCCCAAATGACTATTTGCTGAATATTTCTCACTCCCTGAACTGGTACTTCCAAGGTGGTACAGAAAAGAAATCTGTACCCACATCTACTCTGGGGCTATTCTAATTGCTGAGGTTTTAACTTCTTTGGAAATGCAATTTCAAGTTTTGAGAAGCTACCTTTTCTGTGTGTGAGCCTCAAAAGATTTGTCTCTACTAAACTGTTAGTCTACGTATTTTTTCTTTCTGAAATACTAATGCCTTCTGAAAACTCCTGTAAATAGATATTTGGTTGATTTTAAGAACCACTGGAGAAAAATCACTCACTCCATTGCTTACCTCTTGCTGCCCTCAAAACTTCTTAGCAACATACACCGTGCCTGAACCTCAACGTGGTTTGCTTTGTCCAATCACATGCCTGAAAGCCCAACCAGTCAGTTGTGTAATAATAAACCCCTTATCTCCTGAAGATACACAAACGGAAAGATCTCTCTGTGCTTCAGTGCACTGAGGGACTAAACTAGAATTCTCAGCAGAAACTCACATCCATTTTAAATGACAAATTTCCCCTCCCCTTTTTTTCCGATTTCCTCTTTTTATTTGCAATTTTGAGGAAGGAAAAACCTACTAAGCGATGTCTAATTTAAACACCGGAGGGCGAGGGGCAATGCAAAAACTGCTAGCAAAATCCATGTAGAAAGCAAGGGCTGGGCTTTTGCTGTACTGGGTTTACCGGTTTTCTCACAAGCGCCGCCGGTGATGGAAACTCATCAACAATTGTTGCTGGGTGGAAGAAGGGGCTTAGATAGTGACCAGAAAAGCTGCTTGTTAGTTTCGGTAAACTAGAATCGCCCTCAAAATAAGGAGAAGGGGACACTCCTGCTTCCTTGGGGAAGAATAAAATCTCACTCCTCCCGACCTCGTCGGTCCCCAACGGGCACAAACCGGCGCCTACCTCGTCCCATCTCCAAGTTCCCCCACCACACCAGAGAGAGCTGTCCTTTTCCCGCACCCACGCCGGCCATCAAGCCCGACTCGGCCTTGAGGAGAGGGGGAGCGGCCGCCGCGGAGAGGTGCAAGGGACCCGAGGCTCAAGCAAATCAACAGTTCCCTCGCTCTGCCCCGCGCTGTCGCTGGGCCGCCTGACACACCCCTCCTGGCCGGGTCCCTCTGGGTCGCCTGCCCCGGCCTCAGCCGGGCGCCTCGCCCCGGGGCCCTGGCCAGTCCTCCTCCCCGGGTTTTCGGGTCCCACGAGCGCCACCGCGCCCAGCACGCACCTTCAACGCGCCCCGGGTCGGTCCCCTGGGGACTGCGCGGCCGGGTCCGAGGGGCACGAAACGCTCCTCGCCATCCTCCTCGTCGTCGTCGCCGTCCACCACCTCGACGACCACCTCCTCGTCCTCGTCTTCCTCGTCGTCATCCTCCTCCTCCGCGCCCCCTCGGGGCTTCTCCTCCACCCGCCCGAGCCCCCTTCGCCGCCTGCTCCCGCCTTCTTCGTCCTCGTCTTCCTCCCCCAGAAGCAGCAGCACCGGCGACGAGGAGGCGGCGGCGGCCCCGGCGGCCCTAGGGGAGCCGGTCCCGGCTCCGCGCGGCGGCGGCAGCGGCGGCC